AGACGATAATACTTACCCAGAGGATGCTGGGGAGGAAGATTTATTACCGGGAAAGTTCTCGGGCTGATGACGCCATTGTCTCTAAGGCAGAGGTGTTGGTGTGGGTCCTTCTGACGGTCTACCATCAGTTCAGGGGGTGGCCCGGGAGCTGGGGCTCTGTTACAGGAATGTCCTGGGACGTAGCTGGGGACTTGGTCCCTTGACCTAGTTCCCTCCCTACCAAGAGGTCTCTACCCTTAGGAGAGAAGGCTGGTAACCACCTTCCCGGAATCCTTCTAGGAGCTCCTACACCTAAGGCCCAGGGTCTGGAGCTCTAAGCAGCTGCTGAGAACTGACCTTCCCCCCCACCCCCCACCCCCCCCAGGGTTGCTGAGAAGGAGCCCATCAACAAAATGTCCCTTCACAACCTGGCCACCGTGTTTGGCCCCACGTTACTGAGACCCTCGGAAGTGGAGAGCAAAGCACACCTCACGTCGGCTGCGGACATCTGGTCCCACGACGTCATGGCACAGGTACGACCACGCGGCCGCCTGTGGCTGGGAAAGGGTGAGGCCCGCTCCCTGAAGGGTGGAGAGAACAGCTCAGAGCCCACTCCCCTTCGCTCCTGAGCAGCTGGGTTCGTGGTTTGCAGGCTGTCACCAGGGAGGCAGGACTTTGGACAGCCCTGCCCTTCCCAGACCAAAACAACAAGTTTATACTCGGGCTCCTAGGCCAGGGGCCGGCGCTGGCTTCAGTCCTGGGCCTGCCTGTCTCCAAAAGGAAGCCCAGGGGCAGGAAAACGCCGGGGGCCTCGTCCTCACCGTGGAAGCTCTAGGACTGCTTCTGGGGCAGGAAGCTTCCTTGGGACCCTACAAGACCCAGAGCAGGGTCCAGTCTGAGGCAGGATGTCAAGCCAAAGCCAACCTCTGGAGGCAGGTTGGGAAGTGGCCCCAGGCTCCCACCCTCTGCCCTGCAGCGCCCCCTACTGCTGCAAAGGGGCAGGCACACCTGGGCTGCCAAGGAAGGGGAAGTGGCAGGAGCCCATCTGAGAGGGAAGGGGAGCAACACAGCCTGGGGGCCATATCTTCTCCACAGACCAGAGGAGGGCCATGAGGACAAGGACCTCACCTCAGTCTCCCCTGTCTCCCCACAGGTCCAGGTCCTCCTCTACTACCTGCAGCACCCCCCCATTTCCTTCGCAGAACTGAAGCGGAACACACTGTACTTCTCCACGGATGTGTAGCCCCAGGTGGGAGCTGTGGGGGGTGGCCGAGCCAGCCTCTCTTGCTGGGGGACCGGCACAGACTTGAAAGACTACAATAGGAAACTCCCAAACCCAGCACTCCAGACTCCAAGGGACGCAGGTTTCCAAGAACTGGAACATGTGCATCTTTTGTGCCACCTTGTACAAAGCCAGCTGACCCGGCCCAGCCTCCCGCCACCCCCGGGCTCCTGCCCTCTGTACCTCCAGTGTGTCTCACGCTCCGTGCCGTTTGGGGTTTTATGTCTGTTTGTCATGCAGAAAAGGTAGGGACTGACCCAGGACGGGCACAGACGGCCTGCTTTGTTCTTTCATTTCCTCCAGCACTTTCTTTCCTCCCGCGTCCTGTCCAAGGGCTTTTATTTGGCTGCGTAACTGCTGCCCGCTTGTCCTCTCTTGGCCCTGCTCCCAGACTGCAGCCTCCTGGCAGCCTTCCTCGGTCCCCCCCACACTCCCCCCGCCCAGCCTGCCCGCATGCACGTGCAGCCTCGGTTTTCGCTCCACCGCCTTGGAAGTTGTGAGGAGGCCCCGGGTGGCGGTGACCACGTGGCCGTCAGTGCTGCCGCATGCGGCCCCGGCCCTCTCCTGGCCGCCACCCCCCCACCCCCCGTGGAAGCACGCCTGCTTTGCCTTGCTGCCTGTGCAAATGTTGGACAAGGAGACAGACTCACACTAATCCTCAGCTTAGCAGAGCTGGAGAGCGGATTTCTGGAATTTTCCACCAAGGACCATTTCTGGGGTTTATCTGTTCTGTCTCCTGTCTACTGGTGAGGCATCTTAACTGTTTCTTCTTCTGCTTTTCAGTTCCTTTTCCCTTGGTGGTCTATTTCCTTTGAGTGTAGACTCGCAGGTGACCTGCTATCGAGATGGCCAGAGGGTCGGGAAAGCGTTGGGGAGGTGGGAGAGGCGCAGCACCGGATGGACACTCAGGAGTGCGTGCAGCGCTGGTGTCCTGAGCAGGGGAGCGGCTGCCAGCAGCAGGAGTCCTAGTGGCTTTTCTAGTGAAGCGAGGCCTCCAGGAGGGCAGCTGCTGTGGCTGAAGCAGGTGTCCAGACAACGGCAAGCTCCATCCAGGAGACGAGCCCTTCCTGGCGCCTCCATGTACCTCGTGGTGCCTCTGCCTTAGATTTTACATCCTCCCCAGCCAAGCACTGCCACAGGGTAGCCCCACGGCCACAGGTGCTCAGGGCCTGGGAAAGGCAGGCACAGTCCACGAAGACAGTCGTCAGGGTGCTGCCTCCCAAACCCGCCTTCTAGATGCAGCCTTTCGGGTGAACTGCCTCTCATGGGGTTGGGTTTTGCCGGAGACCCTCATTGTTGATGCTCTGTCGAGTCAGGGATCGGCAGGTTCCAGTCCCAGCGGGGAGACCTATTGCTCCGTCCTGGAAAGGAGTGAGTATACTTCTGTTTCTTCCCGTAGGAGCCTGTGGTGGTCAGCCTGGCAGGGCAGACACTCCCAGGCGGCAGGGGCTTGCGTTGCAGCACAAGCTCCCCAGCTCTCCTCTGTGGCAGAGAGTAGATGCTGCGCCTCAGGACTGGAGAGAACAGCTCCCATAGCTTGAGCTCAGGGCTGAGTTTTAAAGAAGGGTCTGCTGGCCCTGAAGCTGTAGTGCATGCTCCGAGGAGGGCCCTTTCGGATCTTGTTTACACCTGTTACTCAGTCTGGGGCCAAACGGTACACACGCTGTGCACATTGGAGGAAAGAGGCCCAAGAAGAGAGGAATGCCACCTTGCTGGCTGCCTGCAGCAGCTTAGTTAGGAGCCCTGCTCCCTGGGACAGGAGACAGGGACATAACTTGAGTCTAAAGATCCCAGCGACTGCCCATCCCTGCTCTCGTTTCCAAAGCCGTTGATGGTAATGACTGGAGGCCCAGCTTGAGCTAGTTACAGCCAAAAATGGGTGCCTCCCACCTCCCAAAACAAGGGATGTTTACTTCTTAGCAGCAGGTAGCCACTAACTGCAGCCCCTAGGCGTGTTTAGGCAGTGAGAATGGGAGGAAGGCTGGAAGGGCTGAGAAATGCAAAAGGCTCAGAGTATTTATAAATTCTACCCTGAGTGGGTGAGGGCAGGTATCAGACCTGGACTACGCTGCACCAAGGAAATAGCCCACGGGTTCTCCTGGGGCAGGAACTGTGCAGCCCAGAACTCCCAGCCACTGTGCCCAGCAGGGCAGGCTGTGCCACAGGCTCAGCACACAGGCCGCAGGAATCCCAGGTGGCCTGTCCTTGCTGGCAATGACTATGGGCTGCCGGTTTTTGCCGAGACCGGTGGGATGGGACCCTTCGTTAATATTTGACTTTAATACGTGGGTAAGGATATATTTTTTTGTCTGTTCTGTTTCATCTTATGTAGATTATTATAAATTGATGTAAACCACATGAGAGGAAAATGTTAATAAAAAAATGCAAAGCCCCAACATTTGCACACACTCAGCCCTGTGGTGTGGACACCTGTGTCCTCAGTGGTCCAGGGAAGACCAATCTGAGTATTGAACTCTTCAGCTTGCATCCAGATGTGAGCTCACAGGCATGTTTACCCGTTCACCTCCCCTGAGCGCTCCTGTGACTCCGTGGGGACGGCGGCAGCTGGAGGGAGGGGAGCCCACGCCGCCTCCTCCTCTGCACAAGGCCTCCAGGTCACCCCGCAGCCAGCTAGGCAGTACAAATGCCCTGCCAGGGACCTGGCCATCAGCATCCTCAGAGAGATGGCAGGAACCTGTCCATTCAAGTGCAGGCTTCCTATTTTGTGTAAACTTTACATTTTCCTTGGATGTGGCTCAGCTTTGGGGCAGCCTCTGGCCTCATCTGCCTGCAAAGAGGCGGGATCCCCAGAGAGCCCGCTCCCTTTAGGAGCCAGTGGGGTTAACGTAGCTCCCACCAGCCCAAGCCTTTGGACACTTGTTTATTCTGGAGATCAGGAGCAGATGTCTCTGAAAACTGGTGTTTGGTTTATGAGGTCATACGGACTCCTTAGCCATCTAAAACAGGAAACGATTCATCTCCTCTCCTGATTGAATAGTCAATGTGGACAGTGCTTTGCTTATTGAACTGATGGCCACTGACAGCCCAGGGCTCATCCTTTCCAAGGCAGTCATGAGGGCAGCTTGTCCTGTGTCCGGCTGTTCAGTGTATCTGACCCCATGCGCTAGACTGGCTGGTAGAAGATGCTGGGCATCCTAACACTTTGCCAGGTGCCAGGTAGGAGTCTCTGCTATTGCTCTCAAAGCTTATAGGTGACATGTAGGGACAATGTAGAAAATCATTCTAAATTAGTTCTCAGACCTCTGAGGACACTCCAGACAGCCTAGCAGCAATGACGCCTCATGCCTGTGAGACGAGGCCAGGCATTATATAGAATTCACCATAGAAGGACATGAGCTCTGCACACTAACTCACACTCATTCCAAAGGAAACAGCAGACATGGCCAGGGGAAGGTGTTACCAGCTGGGTTTGACATTATCACTCACATACACACACACACTCGGGATGCCTGGATGTTCCAGCTCAGTCTTGGAACTCTGGTTAAGAGTGGGTGGGCTAGAAGAGCAGGCAAGGGGAAAGCAAGCAAAAAAAAAAAAAGGCGAAGGAGTTACTGTACTGCAGGAAAGAAGACACAACCACTGGCTAAAGACAGCCAGGATTATATGTCCCCCACATGCCTGCCTGCCTGCCTGCCCGCCCCCAAGAGCAAACACCTGAACTCATCCGCTCCATCTTGCCACCGAAGCACCAGCGTAAAGCAGAACCCGAGGCAAGTCCTAATCATAAAAGGCTATTGTTTTTGTCTATGATACACAGTAAGACTGAGCTTTTGTTGTCAGAAGAGGGCTACCAGGTCAAGTAAAACACATGTTAAAGCAAAACAACACGTACCAGAGAGCAAGGGAGTGGTGAACAGCCCCTCAGCGATGTCTGACTTGACCCAGTACCTGCTGTGACTTCGTCAGAATGAGGGGAGCAGGCTCCTCGCATGTCCTGGAGCCAGGCCGAGTCAGTGCTCAGAGCGTAACACCAGTCAGTGGCTCAGCCCACAGGCATCCCTATCAGCCGCCCACAGGAGGGCTTTTTAGAAGAGGGCAGTAGGACTTATGCCTGGGGTTTCGATGCGTCCTAGGAAGGGGCGAGGCTGGCTTCTTGGATGGAAGGTCCTGGCTGACATAACAGTCTTGATGAGGGTCACACAACTACAAACCCTGAAAATCTGGCAATCCCAGATTTCTCAGGAGCTTTCTCAATTTTTCTCCTTTGAATGTTCAATCTTTGGGCCACCTGGCACCATTTTGGGGAATTATGGAATTTGAAAATAAAAATAAACCATTTTTAAGCTGTCATATAAATACATTTTTTAAACAAGGACAGCAGAAGGCTAAACAAAGTGACATAATTGGTCAGCAGGCATACATGTACTCTGCCCTGCCCTGACGGGTACGTGAGAGGGATGACTGCATGGAGTTCCAAGGTCGAGCAGCTTCCTGGGTCTGTAAAGTCACCTCCGTCCCCACAGCACCAACCAGCCAGGGGGCCAAGTGTGGTCAGCACTGGATCTTTCTACAAGTCAACACACTGACTCCTAATCTGCCGGAGAGAGAGAGGCTGGCGTCCAGGAGCAGAGAGAGTGGCTGCTCAGAGGCTGGAGGCGTCCAGTGGCCAGGCGGCTCCTCACAACATGGACTGTCTGAGAGGAAACAAATGTCTTCAGGGTCTGGAGCGAGGGCCCTGGAGTGGTGCAGAAATGCCCTCCACAGAGCAGCTCTGGTCCTAGGTGGTGGTGTCCGTCCCCGGAGGCAGTCACTCTCACCGTAGATAATAATCGATTGCAGCAGAGAAAGCAGCAAAACCGCCACAACCAATGACCCCAGCATTTAAGCCAGCTGTAAAGCAAGCAGAAATGGCGTTACCTGTGGTGACAAATGCGGGGCCAGGCTGCATTCACAAAACGTCCGCATACCCACAGATGCAAAGAGAGCAGCTAAGTGCCTGTCAGAGATCTGCGAGGCTTCAATGAAGCCGTGTACGCGATCTACCCCAGTGCTTTAGTTACACTGTGCATTCGTTTAACTTTTCTCATTCCAAAGAGTTAATAGTTCCAGTCTCATGAAAACAGCTCCTCACAGGCAGGAAACTGGTTAAGAAAACCAGCCTTTGGAATCAAGTGAAAGCATATGGCCTGCTCCTGGTTTGTTTATGGAATACATTCCTGGGAAGGTGATCAAAGCAGTCCTAGAGGGAGCCGAGCTTCCCAACGGTCCTGACAGAGCTGAGCGATGGGAAGACCAAAGGGAAGGTTGCCCTCGAAATCATACATGGCCGTTTGAGGAGCAAAAGCAAGTTTTTAATGATAGCAAATCATCCCGCCTCTCCGAAAACGAGGAAACGGGCTTTTTGCTTTGGGTAAGTCGGGGCACAGCAGACAGAGTGGCCCAGCAACGGACACTGTTAGGAAAGTCAAGTCACTGACCCCTTATACCACACTCCTGATGGGAATGCCAACAGGGCGAAGTGGCAGGAGATTAGTTTCCTTCTTTGTTGTTTTCAGCTGATAATCCAACATTTCTTCAATGTCTATATTTGGTTTCCATGGGTAGAAATCTAAGAATCCTCAACTGCAGAAAGACATTACTGTGATAACTTATAATAAATAAAATTAAAACTGACAATTGTATAGTATTATTAAGAAAAACGTCTAAATACTGGAAATGCATGAAGCTGAAAGTTCAGCATGACATGTGGACAAATGGGCTTTCCAGGGCTGAATGGGACCTGGCTATGCTTCCGTACTAGCCTGCATGTGACCACACTCCGGGAATTATGTGAGGACGTTCTCCCGTATTTCCAACATGGGGCAGTTCTTTTCCTAAGACAGGTCTAGATCTATCAGTGGTTCTCACCTCGGAGCAATTTTGCCCCTCAGGGGACATTCAGCAATTTCTGGAGACACTTAGTTCTCACAACTAAGAAGCGCTACTAGCATCTAGTGGGTAGAGGCCAGGGATGTGCAAACATCCTTAAATACATGGACAACCCCCTCCCCGGAGCAGATGTATCTGGTCCAAAATGTCAATAGTGCCAAGGAGAAGAAATCCTGAAATTTCCAACAGTGAGTTGACACATAAGCAAACGTGATTCATTTGTCAGAAGGAAAGAATACCAAGTGCCCACATATGCCTCGGGCTGTCCCTGGAACACTCATATGTTTAGAAATGTCAACTTCAGCATGCTGTCCAAGGCCACAAAGAAAACCACTCGAGACTTGTTTACCAACCTCTGAAACCAATGGCTCCTCCAGTGATGCAGCCACTAATGACACTGTTCTTCCAATCTGACTTCCCCCGGTACTGTGGGCGGAGAAGTGCAGTTTAGAGCCAAAGAAACATGCCAGACAAGACGATTAGGGGAGAAAGCCCAGGGTTTCTAGCTGGCTAATTTAGTCCCGCCCCAAAGGAAACGTAATCTTTTTCTCTTTCAAAAGTGTAGCTCCTAAAATTTGAATGTGTTCATAGTTGCTTCCCACAGGTGACACCAGAGCACGGAGACCAAGTACAGCCTTTGAGAAGTAAGCCAATCTCGTCTCGGGCTCCCCAGTAAGTCTTGTGCTTAAGATCATCAACCAACTTTAAGCCCACAAAAAGAAGTCAGGAACCATGCAAGCCCAAATCATAAGTACAAAGAGTTTACAATTGGGGCTATTTTATGGACATTCAATCTAGCAAATATCGGACATTTCTGATCTGCTTTCTAATAACCTTAAGAGTCTTTCTCCTTAGAAGTCATAAGATGGTAGAAGGCATGGCTTTCACAGGAGGCAGAGACACTTACAGATTCGACCAAACACTCAGTGCAAGAAAACATGGCGCCCACAATGGCAAAATTTTTGGCATAGGACATTCCTCTCTGCCCCATGTCCTTAAGAACTTCTTTTGCTGTCGGAGTCCGGTAAGGATCCTTGGGGTCAAAGCCCACATTGGTATCAATGCCGGCGGTGAACACCCCAAATGCACCTCCCAAGACAAATCCTAAAAACAAACAGAGATGAAGATTTCTTGGCATGTTTTCCGAGTTACTGCAATGGGTCATATTCGAATAGCACCTTCTGGGTGGCCACCAGGGAAGAGGGTCCCATCCCCCTTGCTCCCAAACTCTCCACTTGCCTGGCTTCCACATTACACAACTTAGGCTCCAGCTTGTTGACAGCTTCCTCTCTGTCTCCTCCTGGATTTCTTCTTTATTTCATCTTATATTTCTCAAGATTCAGTCTTTAACCCTCTGTTCTCTCTCTACTCTCTCACATGTAACCAGTCACCCTTGAGTGCAGCTATCAACTTTGCAAATCACTCCCTTAACAATGGTAACATTCATAATAGTCATTTAATAAATACCATCTGCCAATTGCTATGACATTTTATTGTTAGAGCCTCATTTATTCCTCACAATAATCCTGTGAGGTAGATATTTTTACCCCCTCCTTTCTGTAGCTGAAGGCACCAAGGCTCAGAGCGGTTAATTAACTTCCCTAAAGTCACAAAGCTACCAAATGGCACACTCTACATTGCTGTCCACATCTGACCTTCCTGAGCCTGCTGGGCATTTCTCATTACCTCATGGCCAATCCAGTTGACCCTTGAACAATGGAAGATTAAGGGTACCAAGTCCCCCACAGTCAAAAATCCACATATAACTTCTGACTCCCCAAAAACATTTGCCCCAAGCAAGACCCAGTGAGGAGCCCGAGACCCAATCCAAAAGAGAAAGCCTGGCCGCCACGACCACCAGCTGTGCTCACCACCAGCCACCCACTACTGAGGTGCCCGAGTGCGGTGGCACTGGCCAGGCCATGTCAGGCCATCATAAATGGATATGGGTTTTTAAGTCAAAATGACACCAAGAGCGTGTGTGTGCATCAGACTGCCATCAAGAGCCCCCGGGAATATCTGCGCAGTGTGGGGTGCAGAAACTAGTCTGCGGTGGTGGAAGGAGAAGGTGCTGAGGCAGCAATGTGACTGGCCCGGAGGAGTTCCCGCAGAGCCGTGCCTGCTGATCGGCACCAGCTCAGATGTGGCTACAATGGCAGATGCTGTGGACCGCCCCGAAATCATGCTGGGGAGGAGGGGGGGCGGGAAGGGAGCAGCAGCAGTGAAGGATTTGACCCTCCTGCCCCTGAGGGGCACTTTGGGGCCGGAGTCAGCTGTGCCACCCCACCCCCTTCCTCTCCCTCTCCCCTGTAGCCCTCAGTATGGCGAAGGTTCCCGCCTTACCACGTGGGACAGACAGACCTCTGACCCTGTCTCAGAGTCTTTCCCCATCCCAACAGAATGCAGGCTGGTGAGATTGGGGAGATGAAGGATGGAGTCCCAGAGGGAGCACAGCTTCAGGGACCGGTTCATCGAAATCCAACTTACCGTCCAAGGTACCATAGGGGACCTTGCCCACAACCTGCCCCAACTGTGGGAGAGGCTGAAGATAAAGAGAATCAGCAAGCAGCCATGATCCATATCAGCCATCTGCTCATTGTGGATACCAGCGCCTCTACAACTATCGGCTTTGCCCCCATCCTCCCAATGCTCCACCAGATGGCAAAGAGACCAAGGCAGGGGAAGCACCACCCGAGAACCCTGCCCCAGTCACCCACCCAGCAGAGTAACACCAGGCTCCCAGGCACCTAGACCCGTGGTCGGCAAACCTCGGCTCTCGAGCCACATGCGGCTCTTTGGCCCCTTGAGTGTGGCTCTTCCACAAAATACCACATGCGGGCGTGCACGTACAGTGCAAATGAAACTTCATGGCCCATGCGCAGAAGTCGGTATTTTGTGGAATGGAAGACCAATAACCAAGATGTGGACACTGAAATGTTTATGGTTATTCTTTACGAAAGACGTACAAAAGGAGAATTATCAGCCAATGTTTCTAGCAATTCTTCCGGGAAAGCCTGCACAGAAGACAAAAGAGCAACCTCCCCAGTTTCAGCAACCATTAGATTTACTTTTCTCCTTTTTACTGGTTTGGAAATATGAATTGAAAGAAACATTGCTCTGGCCGATTTGGCTCACTGGTTAGAGCGTCAGCGCTCAGACTGCAGGATCACGGGTTCAATTCTGGTCAAGAGCGCAGACCTCGATTACAGGCTCCTCCCTAGCCCCGGTCCGGGTGCGTGCGGGAGGCAACCAGTCCCTGTTTCTCTCTCTCTGTCTCTCCCTATCCCTTTCACTTTCTCTCTAAAAAATCAAAACAAAACAAACCCACACACACACAATGGAAAAAATATCCTGGATGAGGATTAACAAAACAAAAAAGAAGAAGAAATATTAATACTACATGCGAGAACCCCGACCAAAGAAATCTATGCTTTTTTCCTGCCCAACTGGTGTGGCTCCTCTTTTCTGCTCATTTTGGATGCTGGTATAAATTTCCAAGTGTTGTCATTTCAAAAGAAATTTTATGATCCTATTTATTCCCAGGATGAGGGGAGGATAACATCTTTGTTTTGTTGTGTGACTGAAAATGTGAAGCATGAAGTTCTTCAAAAATAAGATTTTGCCCTTGGGGGAAAGGGTTTAGCTGTCCCTTGTTATCTGTGGGGGACTGGTTCCAGGACCCCCACAAATTCCAGAATCTGCAGGTGCTCAAGTTCCCTGTATCAAATGGTATAAATCAATGCACACAGTGAGCCGACCACATCCGTGGACTCCCAGCAGAGGATCGAAAACAGCACAGGTCTGGCCCGTGTGGCTCAGTTGGTTGAGCATTGTCGGGGGCACTGACAGGTCGCCAGTTCCATTCCTGGTCAGGGCACATGCCCAGGTTGCAGGTTTGATCCCCAGTAAGGGGCATGCAGAAGGCAGCCAATCAATGATTCTCTCTCATCGACGTTTCTATCTCTCCCTCTCCCTTCCTCGCTGAAATCAATACAAATATGTTTTTAAAAAACAAAGAAAACAGTACAGGTATTTACTGAAAAACATCCATGTACAAGTGGACTCACACGTTCAAACCCTGTTGGTTCTAGAGTCAGTTGTATATGGTCAATGAAATCATGGGCACCGCCCCTCCCGACGTGCTTGCTATGTCTCCTTCTTTCCAGTCACTCCAGCTACAAACCTCAGGGGCATTTCTGACCGTTTCTGTGCTCCCGGCTACAACTCCATGTCCACAATTATCATCCTAGTCTAGGGCCTTTTTAAAAATACATATATGTAAAAATTTATTTTATATTTATTTATTCATTCATTCATTCATTCAGAGAAAGAGTAAGGGATGAGGGGGAGAGAGAGAAACATCGATGTGACAGCAGAACATTGATCGGCTGCCTCCTGCACAACCCCCACCAGGGACTGAGTCCAAAATCGGAGCATGTGCCCTGAGGGTGAATCCAACTGGCAACCTTCCATGCTCCGGAAGACACCCAACCAACTGAGCCACACAGGGCAGAGCTAGGCTAGGGCCTTTGTCCCTTCCACCCTGGAGCACTTCAAAGACTCATTTCAACAACTCTTTCAGTGATGTATCGGGGTCGAGCACAGCGATGAACAAGGACCCAGTCCAGACCTCATGAACTTTCAGTCCGGCCTTTCTCCTCTACGGCCTCCCGCTCCACACTGCTCCTTCCTTCACCACACTCCATCCTGCATCACTCTCAGTACCACCTGTCACACCCCTAAAAAAACATCCATTACTGCCCTAACCGGTTTGGCTCAGTGGATAGAGCATCGGCCTGCGGACTCAAGGCTCCCAGGTGCGATTCCGGTCAAGGGCATGTACCTGGGTTGCGGGCACATCCCCAGTGGGGAGTGTGCAGGAGGCAGCTGATCGATGTTTCTCTCTCATCGATGTTTCTAACTCTCTATCCCTCTCCCTTCCTCTCTGTAAAAAATCAATAAAATATATATTTTTTAAAAAACATCAATTACTGCCCTAGTGCCTATCAGCAAAAAGCCCAAATCCCCTCCCCCACCCCAACTGGAAATGACGTCTCTCTTCCTCTTTGTCCACCCCCATTCTCTCAATCCGTCAAGACACTGCTCCAGTCTCCCCTTCTCTTGCGGTCTTCCCCAAACAACAAGCTTTCTCTTTCTTTCTACTGTACTTCACAACTGCACTCTCGCTATACTCGTCTGTCCGTCATTCTCAATGGGATTCCAACTCATCTGCAAATGTGGTCAGTCCCTTTACCCTGCACACAGGAGGGGCACTGTACATTCTAGACTTCTTTCCCCTTTGCTCACTGCTGTCTGGTCACACTGGCCACAAAGGCCTTTCAGTTTTCAAACCTCAGGCCAGCCCAGGCCGGTGTGGCCCCGTTGGCTGAGCGTCCTCCGGTGCAGAGAGGTCGCCAGTCCCACTCGGGTCAGGGCACACGCTCGGGTTGGGGTTGCGGGCTGGGTCCCCAGCAGGGGGCGTGCAGGAGGCAGCCGATAGATGCTTTTCTCCCTTCCTCTCTCTAAAGTAAATAAAAACATCTTTTAAAAACACACACCTCAAGCCAGCTCCCGCCAGACCTTTGCACGGGATGCTCCCTATTCTGCAGCACCCTTCCGCCAGCTGCTATTCGATATATAAACATAAGAATGTTCGCTTCTCTCTCCACCGCCTGGCACGGGACAGCTGCTGGGTAACAAGCTATTGAAAGGATGCTTCTTTTAAAGTGAACGAATGAACGATGGACGAAGCCAACCGTTTCATAACGTCCAGGCCCCGACCCATCGTGCCGCTTCTCTGATCCAATGTCCAGAGGCTACAGAGCGTGGCTGGCGTTCACCGGAAGAGACGGGGTGCAGGCAAGGTCGAGGCCCCCAGGCTCCTCTCCTCCCAGGCGCCTGGTCTTGGCAGAGGACCCCGCTGCCATCCAAACCCTCAGCCGCCCACGGGCCCCCTCGCTTGGCCTCACCTCCCACGCAGGCCAGCGCTGCCTTGAAGGCGCAGCTTTCCATCGCCTTCTCGATCATCTTCTGCTCCTCACTCTTGGTCGGGCTCGGGATCCCGCCCAGGCTCCCGGGCTCCAGGGGCCTGGGCTGGCGCTTGTCACCCACCAGGTGCTGCAGAAGAAGGCTGTACTGCAGCGGCGCTTCGGCGGAGCCCGCCGCCTGGGGCACGGAGCCGCCGGCACTGGGAGCAGCCGCCGCCATGGCTGCAGTCGCCCAAGAGACCCTGGCGTCGTTCTCCCCACAGCAGATTTCACAAACGTCCCGCTGGGGCCTTACGCGCCCGCCCAGTGTGCCGCAACGGCAGATTCGCCACCGAGCAAGTCCGGGGAAGCTGCGGAACTCGAGTCCGTTCGTGCGCGCCTGGCAGAAGAACGATCATGTCCCCTCAGAGCCTCCTGTGAATATTGAATCAGGTTTGTACAGCATTCCCAGTGGCACTGACAAACAAGATTCAGATTCACCACGGCACCCTCGTCATCGGGCTGCAGCGCGGTGCCTACCGGGATTTGTAGTTCTAACACGTACACCTAGGACATTTCCCAGGAAGCCTTGCGCGGGCACTCGTCCCCAGGTCCTGGGAAGCTCGTGACCCGCGGGGACGCGGCGGTAGCGCGCCTGCAAAGCTGCAGTGCGCCGGGACGCCGGCAGGAGGCGCCTCGCCACTGCCCTTACAGTCTATTCCTCGCAGGTGTGAGATGGGATGGGAAGTGCTTAGCATGGTTTAAATGTATGGAGTTAGGTGCCTCGTTAGCGCAGTAGGTAGCGCGTCAGTCTCATAAATGTATGGAGTAACTGTTTTGCTCAATAATTAAACCTTTGCCCTAGCCGGTTTGGCACCGTGGATAGAGCATCAGTCTGTGGACTGGAGGGTCCCGGGTTCGATTCCAGTCAAGGGCATGTACCTTGGTTGCAGGCACATACCCAGTAGGGAGTGTGCAGGAGGCAGCTGATCGATGTTTCTCTCTCATCGATGTTTCTAACTCTCTGTCTCTCTCCCCCTCCCTTCCTCTCTGTAAAAAATCAATAAAATATATTAAAAAATTAAACCTTTGATGAGAGAGGGGGAATAACAAATCAGTGAACGAGTGAATGAAGCTAACCAAGCGTAAGAAAAATCAAGGACTGTGATAGGAAGTGGAGGTGACTGTGTCTGGATGGAGAGCTGGTTGTTGTCAGTGAAGTTAGTGGTGTGGGACTAAAATTGCCATGAAAAGCCAAATTGACCTTAGGTTGAATCAGTTAAAGTGTTTATCAGCTTGAAAACTCAGAACCTGAGGTAAACCGAGATAGTACTATGTATGAGCCCAGAAAAAAACTTTTGTAGTTTTTACAGTACTAAAGTAGATCACAAATTATTGTGTTGATCCAGACTAGCATGTGTTTGGCTGTAGCCACTAAGAGAAACATAAATGGAAACAGAAGGCAGTGAGGATAGCCAGTCGACACAGGCAGCATTCTCTGTGCTGCGGAGCATAGCATACGATGCACCTTGCTTTTGATCAGCCAGGCCACTGAAGGCGCTAGTCCTAAGGTCCCGGCAAGAGGACATTTATTGGCATGAGGTGACAGATGGGATGGAGCTTGGCATGTCTAACTGTAGAAGACTGAAGTAAAACAGAGGGGGTGGGGCCTCCAGCCATAGGGTCGTGGGGTTTAATGGCCAGCAGTTGCCTAATAGCAACCACTAGACTTTGGACCAGCTCCCCACCCGCAGCTCTGAGAAACGGCAGGTTGCTCCCTTCTGCCTCCAGTACAGGTCATTTGTCAGCAAAACCTATCCATATTCATGGAGGAGAGGGGCCCTGGCTAGGTAGGGGGCTGGGCTTGCTGGACCATCGTAGGCTTAGTCCATGCAGCTGCTCAATACCATCAGTCTACATAGTCAGTGGTTCTCAACCTTGGCTGCACATTAGAATCACCTGGGAATCTTTTTAAAATCCTGATTTCTGGGCCTCATCCTCCAGAAATTCTGTTTCTTTGTTATGGGGTGGGGCCACAACATTAGTAACAAAGAAACAGCATTTCCGGAGGATGAGGCCCAGAAATCAGGATTTTAAAAAGATTCCCAGGTGATTCTAATGTGCAGCCAAGGTTGAGAACCACTGGCATAGGTGGTTCTCAATCTCTAGTGGGCATCAGAAGCACCTGGAGAGATTGTTCAACTCTTGATGGCTGGGCTCAGAGTTTCTGATTCTGGAAGGTGTGGGATGGGCGTGAAAATAGCATATCCCAGGTGATGCTGGCTAGGGACCACATTTCTGGAACCACTAGTCTACATCATTGTCTACAGTGACCTCTCACTGAAAGTGGATTCACACTACTCGGAGCTCCACTGAGGCGGGGACAACTGTTGGGCTCACTGAAGCCTGAGTACGTCATGGGGCTGGGGTCCCACCGCGGGGTAGCAGTGGGCCAGAGAAGAAGGGAAAGGTGGCACATTGCCAGTTTCATCTCTAATCTCAAAGTAAGTTTCACTTGCTCAAAAGGTTGGTGTTCAAGGGTTTGGGCTAATTTTTTTTTTTTTTAAAAATATGTTTTTATTGATTTCAGAGAGAGGAAGGGCAGAGGGAGAGAGGGAGAGAAACATTAATGATGAGCAAGAATCATAGATCAGCTGCCTCCCACATGCTCCCCACTGGGGATCGAGCCCGCAACCTGGGCTTGTGCCTTGACTGGGAATTGAACTGTGACCTCCTGGTTCATAGGTTGCCACTCAACCACTTAGTCACATCAGCCAGACGGTTTGGGCCAATTTGTTGTGAAAAAAAGAAAAAAAAAAGCCATTGATTCCTACCGGTCTTTTGTTTAGCTCTGAAGAAAGGAGCTCAGCTTCACAGGTCCGGCAGCAGCACATGGCCATGTCCTGCCAGGTGAGGCCAGAATTGGAGCTTGGTTGGTGAGGAGGCTCCAGGGAGTGTCTGCCCAGTGGGAGACCTGGATGGAGCACAAAACCCGCACACCACCTGCCGGAACCCAGAGCGTTCTGTGTCTGCTAGCACGTTCACAGCTGAAGGAGAGCCTGGACGTGCTCTGGGTTGACAATGGCCTTTTCTAGGAGTGGGGCAGCAGGAGGGCAGCTTTGCTGGGACCATGGAACAGGCAGGGTGAGTGGAGTTCAGTATTTTTTGTTATAACTTCTTTTTTTTTTTTCCCACATGAAAACATTCATGATTGAAGCATTTTTTAAAATTTTATGAACAAAGAGCTAGCATTGTTTCTGCAGTGAGGTCGATATGTCTTGAATGACCCATTCAAGGAAGTTCACTTAGTCCAACTTGTGAAGCCTGTATCCTTCGTATCCTGACACAAACACTGGCAGCCCATATCGAGGCCATATTTCCGGCTCAGACCTGCCCGTTTGAGCAGACGCAGCAAGAACAAGAACCCTGGCCAGAGTCTCTCCAATGGCTCCAGCGGGGCTGCTGACCAGCCGTCTTGCTCCCTCAGGTGCCTCAAGGTAAAAGCTTGTGATAACTTCTTCAACTCGCCACCTGCCACTCGAGAGAGACGTTCGTCTGCAGGGAACACTGGCAGGCAGGCCTCTGGCCAGGCAGCAGAATGAGAACCTGGCATGGAGTGCACTGCTTGGGCATTGCTGCCTCATGTGGACAAGAAGAGTTTGTAGGATTGAGAGTAGGACCGGGACTCAGCATGCTGAAGCCAGCCTGGGTTTTAGGGGGAAACTCCCATCTCCACCCAGGAGAAGGCCCTTTGGTATAAGGTGGGCTCGCTGAGGTCTCAGGAGGCAGCACCAGTATGAGGAGTAGCAGGGAACCCTCTGGGCTGTGAATTGGGAGCAGAAGGACCGAGGGCTCATGCCCTAGTAAGAAGCCTCAGAAAGCAAGGCACAGCCTGAACACCTCAGGGGATCAGTTAGAAAAAAAGTCAGATCTCCAAGTCACCCTGCACCCGCACCCCCCCGCCCCCAGGTCAGGAGAGTAGATCTGAGAGGGCTCCCGAAGGCGTTGTGGCTCTTACTGTGCTCCCACAGGCAGAGCTGTTCTGGGATTCCCGAGCGTGGGTGGACCGAAATTAGATCTTATTTTCCTCCTCAAGCCCACTCTTCCTGAGTTTCCCATCTGGGAGAGTCCATGCTCTTTTAGACTTCGATGCCTTGCTTACTGCATCCCTTACATGCCTTCTAAGTATCTTTCAACCCCCCGCCCTCTTCCTTTGTATACTCATTGCCACTGCCATATCTGGGCTCTGACCGTTTTTCATTTAATAGGATCAGTTGGTCTTCATGCCTCCTACCTTGCTCTTCTCCAAACCACCCACAGAGCGATCTCTCGGCACAGAAGCGTGATTATGTCCCTGCTCAGACTTCTCCCCCGTGCCAGGATAGAATCTAAACTCAGCGTGTTGCTTTTATAATGTGTGCCCAGAAAGACACATATGTTTCAGCCCAAGTTTAGTTCTTAGTCAGACATTTCCATTCCCAGTTATCTCTTTTGGATCTAGAAGTGATGCCTCAGAATTATTCTTTTAAAAAAATTATATATATATATATATATGTATATACTGATTTCAGAGAGGAAGGAAGAGAGAGGGAGAGGGACAGGGAGAGAGAGAGAGAGAGAGAGAGAGAGAGAGAGAGAGAGAGAGAGAGAGAGAGAGAGAGAAACATCAATGATGAGAGAGAATCATCGACTGACTGCCTCCTGCACGCCCCCTACTGGGGATCGAGCCCACAACCTGAGCATGTGACCTTGACCGGAATCGAACCTGGGACCTTTCAGTCCACAGGCTGTCCTGCTGTCATTTTGAGATGTCCTGCTGTCTATCCACTGAGCCAAACCAGCCAGGGCGCTCAGAATCATTCTTAATAACCTGTGCTCTTTTGTGTTTGGGAGATGAGTTTGGACTTCTTGACTTCGTGTCATTTCTTTGACTTGTGCCCTGTCCTCAGTCAAGTGTAAATTCTTAGAAGATATTTATTGTTACTATTTCTTCATCCTTCTTGCCTTTGACCTGCGGTAGCCACGATGAGAGCAGAAGCATCCTGTACTGTTCCCAGTGACAGAGCCTGAGCCTCCGGCCAGATTCTGGTGGGTGGTCCCCAGGGTCTGGAGCAGATTTCTCCCTCCGCATCATTGTTCGGGAGTTTTATTCACTCGCCCGCACCCAGCCATCCAGACCTGCCGGCTATCTCCTGTGCTGTTGCTCTGGCTTTGCTTACCAGCGTTACTGGAGGTTTGGCAAACAGTCTGGCAGTCTGGTGGGTTGCTAGGACCGACTTCAGACTTGGTTGATGAATCAGACACGTTGGCTACATCTGCACCAGGAGCACGTGGGTGACAAGTTGTGATCCTGAGATTTGATCTGAGAAGTATTGGAGGCAAATAGAAATATGCATTCTGATTTTCTCGCTCCTTGCACTTCTGACTCAGAAAAGAGTTAGGAGGCTTCAAGGACTAGACTCCTTCTGCTT